CTAAATTAACAATTTTATCCTAAAATTATATCCAAATTTGATTGAAAATAGAATTCTAAATTAATTTTTTTATCATACAAATTGAATTCTATATAACTTTATCCTACGTGGCGCAACACTTGGCGAAAAGTTGGAGCGCCAAGTGTCGCTATCTCGTCGTCTGGCTAAAAGTTTAGCTTTGTATATATATATATATATATATATATATATATATATATATTTTGAATAAATATATTCTATACATACTGAGTATATATATATAGACAGGAAAGATAAATCTAAATATATAGGCAAGAATTTATGTATGAAAGAAAGATAAATTAAAAACAGCACTTTAAAAATATAGCAAATTAAAATTCATGGTTCTTTATTTTTTTTTTTTTTACATGTAAAATTCGTGATTTTTTTTTTAAAAACACAATTAAAATACATGAATTTAACTAAGTACGCACCAAAAAAATGCAAGAACCAAAAAAGAAGTAATAAGAATCGAGCAAATATATACCTTATATGTTCTCAACGACTCTTCAGCAACTAATGATTTTGCATCACCAGTTTTGATTTCGGCCATATATCGGTAATAATCTGCTTTCCTGCATCACATAGCTCTTCGTTAATTAAACGAACCAACTCTTAACTTAAAGAATAAAGAATAATAATACCCAATAAATTACGGAGTAATTGTTAAAAAGACTTGATTAAATTAATAATATGCAAAATACTCTTTAAGTTATTACTCACATTTTTAAGTAAAAGACGAAGGATTCGACACTAGACGCGAAAGGAAGGAGATGGTCCTCAATAAGTTCTATAACTTCGTAGCAAATGTTAGCAAGGTCCGACTCGACTACATTACGATAATCTTGAATACACTTCATGTATGTCTCGTCTTTGTATATTGTATTTTCCTTTTGTTCAGTCTTCGGCTGTTAAATCGATGTTAAACTTCACCAATTTCTTCATTGCGTCGATCATATCTGCAAATTTTAGATATGAAATCATTAGTTGTATTTTAATAGTTTCATGCTTAATAATGCACAACTTTTGTAGTAGAGTACATCATAAATATCCTAAAACAATAATAACGTGATATTATAAAGTTGTTATATCTAAGATGTATTAACAAGATTTCACATGATAATACTAATTTTTTTTAACATAAACTAAATTTGAAGTCACAAAAAATAGTCAAAGATTAGGTAAGAAGTGATTTTTAATTTTTAATTTTTTATTACTTTTAAGACACTGAAGAAGTGTAATATTGTAGAATGTTGTGTTTTTTTTTAAAGAACGTAGAAGTATGTAAGGAACTCAAATCCAACTAAAATTGAAGCTTTTGTGAGTTGAAACTAGTACGTGAAAGAAAGCGATGAGGAAGAACATACCATCATAGCGTTCGGCTTGGACGGCAAGCTTAGCGAGGAAGATGATGTCGTAACGTTCGCTCGAAGAAGCCATTGGAGGAGATATCAAGAGAATTGGGATACTCGTGAATGAAAGTTATGAAAGGGTTTGAATATTTTGAGGTAAAATGTAGGAGGAAGAATTGAAAAGTGAAAAATAACGCACGGTAATATGGTATATATAGCTTTTTTTTTTCACATAGAAAATATAATTAATTAGTATTTTATTGGGTTTTTCTAAGCTATACCCCTAAGGTATTCAAGTTTCTAAGGTGTACCCATGCTTCTTCAAGTTTCTATATTTTAGAAAAGTATAGCTTATGTCTACCATAATTAGAACTTAGAAGTCGTGTTTTCCTAAAATATATATTAAAAAAAGAAGTTAGAAGTTGTGTTGCTTGTAGGATAAATCCTAACTATCTACGAAAAAAATAAATACTCTTTCCGTGTTTTTTTAAGTGATACATATTGATCGGCACATAATTTTAGGCAATTTAATTGACTTAAATAAAATAAGAGGTAAGTGGGGTAGCGGAGTATTAAAAAATTGTTAAAGAAAGATAGTGGGGTTAATAGTTTATTGAAAAGTAATGAATGTGAGAGGAAAGATATAATAAAAAAGTAGTAATGGGTTTGGGTGGGGGCCATGAGAGGAGAGAGATATAATATTTTAATGTATTGTTTTGCCAAAAAAGGAAATGTATCACTTAAAAAAAACGACCGAAAATGAAAAATGTATCACTTAAAAAAACACGGAGGGAGTTTTCGTAAATAAATACGTAGTCGTGGTTTTTTTTTTTTTTTTTTTTTTTTTTTTAAAAAAAAATCCTAAATATCTACGAGTATTATTTTTGTTTTAGGAAACATGCTAAGCTACTTAAATACGGAGTAGTTTAATGTACTCTCTCCGTCTCATGATATTTAAACAGTTCTCATTTTTATTTGTCCCATAATGCTTGACACGTTACTAAATATAGACTAATAAAAAAAAAGTATTATCTCACATTCTCTCTCCTTACCCACCCCACTCCCATCACGACCGCTTGTTATTTACTTGTAATTAGACCTGGCAAACAGGTCATTCAGGTCGGGTTCGGGTCGAATCAAGTTCAGGTCAGCAAATGTTCAGGTCGAGTCGGGTTGATTCGGGTTTCGGGTCAAAATCTAGTCAGCACTTCGGGTCAAGTTCGGGTAGGGTCAAGTTCGGGTCAGGTCAAGTTTGAGTCGTGTCAATTCGAGTCGGGTCTGTTCGGGTCGGGTTAATTTTTAAGATTAATTTTTGGGTCTGGTTAAATTTGAATCGAGTCAATTCGGGTCAAGTTTGTGTCGGGTCACCAAAATAAATTCACTTAAAAAAATAGTTGTAAAAATAAAAAAAAATCGTAAAAAAAAATAAATCATGAGTACCTATTACGTAGGAAATAAAGAAGCCCTAAACTAAGGATATGTTCTCATTGACTGAACTCTGCTAAAATGAACTAACTGAACTGAACTGAAGTAAAATGAATATTTTATAAGAGAAGGAAATTAGGAGCTGACTGAGTTGAACTGACCTGAACTAAACTGAACTGAACTAAACTGAATTTCAACGTATGAGAACAGGCCCTAAGTAATTCACTATTTCACCCTATTCACTTAGGATTCGGGTCAATTCGGGTCGGGTCACTACGGATCGGGTCGATTTTGGTCAATTAATTTGGGTTAAAATCGGGTCGAGTCACTTCGGGTCAGTTCAAATTCGGGTTTTGGGTCAATATCGGGTCGGGTCAGTTCGGGTTATCGGGTCATGTTCGGGTTAACTCTATTTCGGGTCGGGGTCGGGTTGGGTTAGGTTAGTTCGGGTTCGGGTCATTTTCGGATCAACTTTCGGGTTACGAGTCGGGTCAGGATTGCCAAGGTCTACTTGTAATATAAAAATACAAAAGAGGATTTTTTTATATATAAACAAATGTTTTAAATAGAACAACTTGTAGTTTTCATAAATTGTGTGTCCACTCACATCCCAAGTATTATGGGACGGAGGGGTAGCATGATTTCAGGTTTTTCATTTGAAATTATTTGACATGGTACTTTTTGACAAACAAATTATGGTAGTAAAAAACTGTTGTGTTGTGCATTGTCCTAACTCCTAAGGTTTGATGCTTCTTATCCGGTCTAAAATCATGTGCCTAATGACGTTATGTTTAACTTATAAGGGTAAATGGTCATTTTTAAGTTGCACATGTAGTTCTTTCTAGCTCTGTTGTTATGAGACTTAATTATGACTAAGATGAGAACTAAGCCATAGTATAAAATTGGGATATTTTATCAAAACGGCTAGTTTGACAAAATAATTTACCAAAACGGCTAATTATAAAATTTAATTCTCAAACTAACTAATTTATTAACTTGGAAGGAATTTGGCTGTTTCTTATTTCCTTTGAATCAGTTTGGTTCTTTTTTTTTTAATTTTGTTTTTTTTGTATTATTTTTATTTCCTTAAATATTTTTTTAAGGTGAAAAATTTAAGCAGTATACAAAACTACGAAGAATGTAAACAGTCGCAGACTCGCAGATCCCTAATTACAATAAAAAATATTAAATTAAAAGCCCTAATTTTTCATCTTGATCATATCAATCACAAAAATTTGGAATTTCAAGTATTATTGTTCTATCAAGATTACCCCAAATTTATACGACGATAAGGGATTTTAAGGCATTGTTCATTTTTTTCTATTCAAAAAAAAAAAAGAAGGTATTGTTCATCTTTTTCATGTCTATTAAATTAATTGTATAATCTTTGTTTATGTTGGCTAGTATGAATATTTTTTTTTGTTTAATGTGTATGATAAATCAAACTTATATATATTTATTTCTATCTTTATGTGTTAAAAAAAAATAGTTGTATATTTTTTTTCTTTTGTTGACTGGAAGTTTGGATCATTTTTTTTTGAGTGCGTGGTTGTTTATGTTGTATAATTTTTTTAAAAATTGAGAATTGTTGCATATATATTATGTTGATTGTTATTGTTCAAATTAATGGGATATTTTAAACTATGGAATTAGAATTTTAATAAAACCAACATTTTAAAAAAATCTAATTCTTTTTAAATAAAACCAAATAAAAAAAATAAAGTGAACCAAACGTGGTCAAAGGAATATAAAAAATAAATAATATCCTTTCAAATCAATAACTTTAGCTAGTTTGGGAATTAAATTTTATAATTAGCCGTTTTGGTAAATACTTTTGTCAAAATAGCCATTTTGGTAAAAGATCCATAAAATTGAAACTTTAAAAAACTTTGGCTTTGGTTTGTTTTTTAGAAAGTAGAATTCTTTTGAACTACTTGTTTCTATATTTGTGAGCCTTGAGTTAATGATAAAAATAAGAGTTACTTGGTTTACTTTGATAGTTTGATGGAAAGGAGGTGACTTGGTGAGTGAAGAAACAAGCAGGATTTGAATCGGATGCTGCAAAACTTGTCTTGTGCTTAATTTATAATTAGACTTGTAATCCAACTTTAATCATGATTTTCATAAATTCGACTCAAATTCAAACTCAATTATAATTTATTTTCTAAACAAAGCACTATTAAAATATATACATGTGTTCAACTAGTCAATACATACTTCGTATTATAAAATCAGAGATGTTTAACATATTATTCTGAACAAGCTTAGCTATTTGTTTCACATGTTTCTTTCATGCATTATAAAATCACATGTTTCTTTCATGAATATGAAGTGTATGTTTCAAAGGTTGCTTTCATCATTCTCGGCCTTCCATAGTGTAAGGTTATCCCTCAAAAGATTCAGGATAACCTTGCTGTCTTTCGAGTAAGCCCTGCCGCCTAAACCATCCAACTCTAACATAGCCTCTTCAAAAGTTTCCTTTGCCAACTGATATGCCCTAAAAAGGAAAAAATACATACAAGTAAGTAACAATGCAATTATAATAATAATCATAGCGAAATTGTAAGATTATAAATTTATTATGTAAGTACCTTTGATAAGAATTTGAAACCTCGTAGTAAAAAACAGCAATATTTAATGCCAAGCCTAAGCGGGTTGGATGAATAGGTGAAAATTGAACCACTGCTACGTCCATTGCTTTCTACAATAAAATTTAATTGCAATTATTTACTTGTAAAACGAAAAAGAAAATCAAATGGTATACAAAATAATATTAACAACAAAGTTAACGACAAACACTTTTAACTTCAATTTGGCTAATCACATAATTAGAAAACCACATGTATACAATTCTAACAAAATGCAACATAGTAATATTCATATTCTATATGTTCCGTATATAGATAAGAAAGATAATATATATATATATATATATATATATATATATATATATATAGCTGAGAGTTTATATGAAAGGAAGATAAATTAAAACGGTACTTAGAAATATAGCAAATTAAAATCCATGAATTTAACTAGGACCCTGTTTGATTCACCTTAATTTTGCTGAACTGAAATTATTTTTACTGAACTGAACTTATTTTTACTGAACTGAACTTATTTTTACTGAACTTAAATTATTTTTACTGATTTTCTATTATAATTCTTCTTTAATAAAACTGAATTTTACTGAACTGAACTTATTTTTACTGAACTGAAATTATTTTTACTGAACTGAAATTAATTTTACTAAACTGAACTTATTTTTACTGAACTGAAATTATTTTTACTTAATATTTTTTTTTTTAAGGTGAATCAAACAGGGCCTAAGTATACACAAAAAATTGCAAGAACACAAAATGGAGTAATAGAAATAAAATCGAGCATTTATTTACCTTATATGTTTTTAACGACTCTTCCGCGACTAATGATTTTTCATCACCAGTTTTGATTTCGGCCATATATCGGCAATAATCCGCTTTCCTGCATCACATAGCTCTCCGTTAAGTAAACAAACCAACTCTTTAACTCAATGAAATAATGAATAAATAATAATACCCAATAAATTAATTGCTAAAAGACTTAATCAAGTTTAATCCGAAGTAAAAGATAAAATTCTTTAAAATTATACTCACATCTTTAAGTAAAAGACGTAGGATTCAGTGCTAGACGCAAAAGGAAGGAGATGATCGTCAATTAGGCTTATAACGTCATAGCAAATGTTAGCAAGGTCCGACTCGACTATATTACGATAATCTTGAATACACTTCATGTACGTTTCGTTTTTGTATATTGTATCCTCCTCCTTCTCAGTTATTGAGAGAAGTTTCCATGATTCTCTCTTTGGCTCGGTCACTTTCTTGTATGCCGTTGAAAGGAGATTACGCTCTTCGACTGTTAAATCAATGTTAAATTTCACCAATTTCTTCATTGTATCGATCATATCTGTAAAATTTAAGATATGAAATCATTAGTTATATTTTAATAGTCTAGTTCATGCTTAACAATGCACATCTACTTGGTAGAGTATATAATAAATATTCTAAAACAACAATAAATATTGTTAAGTACGTAAATTAAAGTGATATAAAGTTTTAATTGATATATACTGTATTAACAAGATTATACATTATAAATTAATAATACTATTTTTCTCAACATACACTTTGAAATTACAAAAAATAGTAAAAGATTATGTAAGTAGTATAATATTGTTGAAACTCCTACATACGTGAAAGAATTGAAAGTGACGAGTTAGAACATACCATCATAGCGTTCGGCTTGGGCGGCAAGCTTAGCGAGGAAGATGATGTCGTAACGTTCGCTCGAAGAAGCCATGAGAGGAGAGATCAAGAGAATTGGAAGTACTCGTAGGTTAAGGTTTTGAATGTATTGAGGCAGTGTATGAGGAAGATTTGCAAAGTGAAAGAAAAGGCACGGTAATTCTGATATATATATAGCTATTTTTTCATGAAAAAATAATCTTGATTATTTACTTATCTTAGGAAAGTGTAGTCTATGCCTAGATAAGGTAGAAATTGTCTATGCATATTGCCTAGATAAGGTAGAAATTGTGTTACTTGTAGGATACGTAGTCTTGTTGACTAGGTCTTGTAATTTTTGAGATAAAAATCGTAAATATCTACAAGTATTTTAATTTTGGGAAACATAATACTTCAATAGACGTATTTTAGAAAACATACTACTTCAATAGATCAATGTAATGTATTTGGAAATTTTCGGTTTAGTTGACATGTGTTGATTTTAAGTAAATTTTAGAGCATGTTTATTACAATGTTTTTAAGAGGTGTAAGTGGAATAATAAACCGTTTTTATTATCAAACTATTACCATTACTTAGAGTTAGGTATCCATTACCACCAATTTGTTACCTTTTTTCAACACTATATGTGGTAGGACGGATTCAAAAATTAAAATATACACTACATCTAATTAAATAATTACCATCAATTTGTTACCAATTTGTTATCTCTTGATCTCTAAGGCTTATTATTCATAAAATAACATAATTCTAAATTACTATAACAAAGAGTAAAAAGAATAGATTATAAATATGGTCTTGATCTCCTAACCAATCAATGAATGGGATATAGAGCATGAATTGAACCAATTTAGCCGAAGTATTTTACATTTAGGGTTTTTTTTTTTAAAATTTTTTTTAAACTAATTTAGCCAAAGTATTTTACATTTAATTTATTGCAGCTTAAATACACCTTTATTTTTGCAATCCATTGACCACGTACAGGTCTGGATGAGTCCTCTTAATCGAAAGAAACATGTTCTTCTAAATAGTTCAACTTAATTTCTTAACCATACATGTTACTCCACATACCACAAAATAAAGACATACATTTGATCTATTGAAAAAGTATACGCGTTGCTCCGAGGTGAGTAAAAGGTCCAACTAGCATCTTATAATTAAATGTAGTGGGATCAAACTCTACTAGAATTACTTTAAAGTGAGAATTCACTCATCCTCATCCTCAAATGAGCTAACTTGCTAATTCGAACCAAGTTAACATGTGAGAGATTCCGATTCAATAAAACCCTTTTTCTTACCAACTCAAAAAAAACGTAATATTAATTAATTGGACACAGTCAACCAGCGAATGAAAAGCCATCAACTACCCAAAGAACCACAAATTATCCTGCTAAAAAAATCCAACTGCAACACCCCAAATCTATCCACTACTATAGTACTATCTCTCCATTAACTCCAAAAAAAAAAAAAAAAAAACTCAACTCCTCTTCCTGTGCACTTTCCCCACCAAATCCGCTTCTTTAAAGAGAGAGAAAAACCCAGAATTATCCACATTATGACTGCAAAATTAAACCCACCCATTATTTAATCTTCCCATTTCATACCCATTTCCAAAAAGTATGGACATTTCGTATTTTCAAAGAAATCCCATTTTTTTATGATTAAAAATGCATTAATTTATATTATAATATTCGATTATTATCTATTCTGGGATACCCAACAAAAATAAGAATTAAAGATTGATTTTTTGAAGATAGATTATATACATGGCAGCATCACCTTCAGCATCAGCTGCTGTTGCGTCGGTGAGTTTATTATACGCGCGCAACAATTGTGTTAGTTCTCCTGTTTTCTCTCTTAGACTTGGTGGTGGTGGTTCTCTTCCTTCTTCGTCATCTTCATCGTTGTCGTCTTCGTCTTCGTCATCGTCTTCATCTTCGCATTGTTCGTCGAATAGTTCATGTAATTTCTCCGGTAATTGTCATTTTTTTTTTTTTTTAATTTAGTGTTACTTTTATTGAATTTTTGATTTGGGTTTTGTTTATTGTTGATCATATTATTGAATTTGAATTTGGATTTGCAATTGGGTGATTATTCTATGTGTTTATCGTATTGAAATTGCAAAATGTAGGTAGAAAAATGAAGGGGGGTTTTTGATTGAACGAATTTGAGGGAATTGAGGTGGGAAATTGAATTTTGGGTTTTGGCTGATTTCGAGAAATAGGAATTACAATTGCTTGAAACTTATGAATTATGATTGCCATTGTTGGAGTTTATAGTGGGAAACTTTTGGTTATTATCTTAAGGTCAACTAGCTGTCAGAGCTAAGAAGTTTGGGTATACAGATGCTGGGAATTATTGATCGTATTTCAAAGCTGATTGATCTTTATTTATCTCTTATTCTGTAAGGGCAGCTGGTAGTGGTCCTGTTTTTCGAAGCTTTTGCCGGTGATTTGAGGAAAACATGAGGGTATTGCGATGCCAAACGATGCAATTCCGTGAAGTGTCGTATATAGAAATTTTATTGGCTGATAGCATAGATAAAAATATGAGAGGAGTATTAAAGAACATGGGGTAGGTATTGTGTTAGTTGTACTTTATTTGTATGTTTGTATATTTAGAAAGGTTAAGGGTGGATTGATTAAGTGGAATTTAGAGAGCATAATCTGATGGTTGACAGTTTGCAGTATGAAGTTCTAGTTAATTAATTTATGTAGAGGTTTCGGTGGGATATGTTCTTATATACGTAGTATTATATATGGAATTACTTAAGAAGTTAGTATTATGCATATTCTATTGTAATAATGGCATGTGGGTTTAAGGTTTGTGTGGTTGTGCCAAAAGCTTTGCGTGTGATATTGTCTCTTTTGTTCCACTGAAAGAGAAGATTTATATTTATACATGAAATGTACAAAGAAGATAATGATTGTTATGGAATGACATATACTAGGTTCTTATTTGAATATGAAGATACCGTTTAATGTCTCTGGTTTCTTGGAATTCGTTGTGTACGAGATAGCTAGAGAAGCTAGAGAGTGATCTACTTGTCTTTCTTTGCCGGTCCTTTATGCTTAGAAAGAAGTTGTTTTAAAAAGGGGGCTGAGGCCTGGTTTAGGTCTGTTCATTTGTAGATCAAGTAATTCGCGTTCTTATCATGTATAGTTGGTTCAAATGTTCTCAGTTGCTTATCTCCTCATTGGCTGTTTTGTACATATTGTGTCCCCTTCAAGACATTATGTGTTGAACCCTTTTTTTTTTTCTTTTTAATTTAGTCTAATGGATGTCGTCTATAGTAGTAACTTGAGAAATTGGAAACTTTTCTGGGTTGCAGTTGCTTGGAGAAGCAGAGTTTGGGTTGTCTCTTAATCTCTTTGGTGCTTAAAATATGACTTTTTTTATGTTGCCAGAATGAGAGGCAAAGAGGGAAGGCTGCTGCCAAAGGAGGTATTTTCAAGAGATTTTTATGAAGAAACTGTTGATTGTACATTTGTTCTACCCTTGTGGTAGTGGAGTGTGAATTGTGAAGTATGATTGTTATGAGCATCTTACCCTAAACTAATGAATGCCAACTGGCTTTGTTGGTTAAAGTCTAGGGATGTGGTTCTCAAGACCTAGGTTGAATTCCACTAACATCATTTTCCTTTTGTGATTCTCTACCAAATTAGAAATCTAGCCTTTGTTGAGTATCAGATTACTATTTTGTAGTGGATTTTATCTCATGTATGAGGGGGAAGCATCATATTTTTAAGTGTTGCTATCTTGCTACGAAAGATTTTTCAGGATTGATGCATTTCCACTGAGTAAAAAGGGGAAGATAAAGCATATTTTGATCAAGTCAAGCATATAAAGCATGTATTTTGATACAGTTAGATCCTTGTTATGCTTGATGTTCTTCGAGTTCTTTAGCTCTAGTCTTTATATTTTTAAACTTGGGATGTTGATATTGGTTTTACTTTTTTTTGTAATGAATCTGCACTCCTATTAAGAGAGAATAGCAGCTATTGATGATAATACTGATGTCTGTAAATCTGTGATGGAAGCTCAGAGATAATTGTTAAATCAACTCAGAGATCATTTATTTTGCATGTTTAGATCTGTATCTAAATGCTGGAATTGCTCATCTTATAAAATCATGAAGTTGAAATTAACTGTAATAAACCTTATCCTCTTTGTCTCCTTGGTCTTCAAAGCTTTGGCCTATTGATAAAGATTATGTTTTCAGGGGTGAATGATAGCTGGCAAAATCAAAGGTTTGAGTCTCATGCAATGAGTACTACAGCTGGAAATAAACCGTCTTCAATAGTCAATGGAGAACGCGGGCCTGATCATCTTCTTGTGCTTGTCCATGGCATCATGGCTAGGTATATGTTATTAAAATCTTTTAAATATTTAAGGAGGTTTAAACTTTGCGGTTTTGACTTTTTTTTTTTAAAACTGTGGGCATCTGTACTTAAGTCTCAATAATGTGACAATTTGCTACTTTTTTAGGTTTCTATAAAAATATTCTTAAAAAAAAAAGGTTTCTATGCAAATAGATAATTTTTCTATGATTCTTACATTCATTAGGTATGACATACACGTATGCTTGACTCTGATTCTACTGTCTTACTGATCAAGAAGTTCATGCTTAGATAATGTTTTACTTTTACCCTTGTGGTGCGGCTTAGCAATCAAGAATGTGAATGTGTTCCTTAATCTAGTTTCCTAGAACTACAAATTTGTTATATTGTGGGAATTTTTTTTTTTATATGATTCATGATATAATTTTAGCTTAGCTACCAACCCCTTAGGATGACGTTCTACTTTTGTTCTTAGAACAGCCCAAGTGATTGGACATATTTTGAAGCAGAATTGAAGAAGCGATTGGGAAGAAATTTCTTGATTTATGGTGTGTTTATCTACTTCTATTACCTAGTATGCCACTTTATTTTATTTATTTTTTGACTTTTTTTTGGTTGAAGTGTACTTTATTGTGAACTGTGAAGAGCCTCTTAAATCTTTACTCTCTTCTAGTTTTGGGATAGTTGCTATATGTGCATCTTGGCTAGGTGTATTGC